TACTAAAAAGAGCCGCGATAGCAATGGGGATAGTGAGTTCGTCTTCCAAGCAGGTAACCCAGGTTTGAGTCCTAGCGATGGTAAGTCAATACAAATCCTGCTTTCAGTTTGCATTGAACACTGTGCTGACGTAAAATATTTTCAGTGGTGGACGGATCATGAGTTAGAGTCCCCTTGCAATCGGACTAAACATGGGAGGTTTTCATAGTTTTTACCTCCATATAACGCAAACGAAAGTTAATTCTACTAGAAATTCCTTCAGCATTGCTCCATTGCTCGATTTTGATGTTCTCTCGTCTTCTTGGTTGGATTCAAAATTACAAGGCTACGGAGTTGAACATTGATAACCATAAATCCAAATGTGGATCGGTTGTTCCAAAGCCGGTTATAAAAAAAATGTCTAAATAAAAATATAAAGAGTAAAATATAATATTTTGAAATCCTATGAACAAATATCGAAACAAAAAATAATTAATTTGGTTATATTTATTTTATTTTAAAACTGTATTTCTTCCAAAGGTTACAGATTTATTACACAAAAAAGTTAAAGTGAACTGCGGTTTATTGAGCTAATAAAACTGTAAAAAATTAACAGACAGAAATAAAACTTATCAAACTTACCACAGACTCGCCGATTATAAGGTAGTGAAAAATATATTTCATAAAATTTCAATAGCACTCTTTGGCTCTCTTAGTTTTAATTAGTATTCTAAGCATTAAACAAATTTAAATATATAAAAAATATATATATTAAGAAAGAAAATTTCAGCTTAGCTTTAGGAATTTTTTCTGCTTATAAGACTTTATTTAATAAACTCGAAAAAATTAGTTATTTAATTTTGGGCATTTTTTTAATCAAGTATCTTCTTTGTTAAGAAAAATAAAAAGACGCTAATAACTTCTTGCTCCTAAAATGTTATAGTCTGCCATCTAGTGATATCAAACGAAACTATAAGACATTGAATCATTAAAAAAAAAATTAGTACTTTTTCAGCAATTTTAACTACAGCTGTCAATTTTCTCGTAAAGGAGGTTAGACAAATTGAAAAAAATATTAGTATGATCTGTATTAAATAAAATATTATTAATTGTTCAATGAATGTTTCAGTTACGTTAATGTTAATCTCATTTTGTTTGCATTTTAATGTAGATTTTTACTTTTTCTACTTTCAATAATAAAATATACACATAATTACGTTTTAGTTATTTAAATTACAAAAATTCGTAAAAAGATTAAATCTTTTTTGTTTAAATAAATGTCAAGATACGTTTTATTTGTATTTATAGTTTATTATTTTATGCTTTTTACTATAACTGAAATATATTATCAGTATATTTTCTTTAAAATTAATAGAAACGAAACCAGATCGTTTCGATTACTTTTTTTTTCACTTTATTGTTCAAAACTTGCAGAACGAAAAACCGTAGTAGAGAAACTTATCCAAATTTAAATTACAAATATCATCAAAACTACATAAAGTTTGTTACTAATTATTGTTTTCATACGCAGTGTAAGCAGAAAACTCTTTGCGCAGCATTAATGTATTTTCAAACTTTTACCTCAAGCGCTATGACTAATGTAAAAGAACTAACTGAATTACTCTTAACTCATACGTTTTGGTTGTAAATTATTTTCTAAAATAAAGTCTATTCTATAACTATTAACCTTAAAAATGCATGTGTTTCTTTTTTAATATATGAACAAATAGATCCCAAACCCGAAAAAAGAAAATTAAATTTGATTTTTTATTTAAATTTCTTAATAATTATTATTCTTATTTTTCTTATTCTTAATATAAATTTTAATTCTTAAGCAAAAGTATGATTTTGTGATAATATTTAGTGTATCTGGTTCTTTAGCATCATATCATTTAATGAATTTTTAAGCTGAATAGGACTTTTCTGGACTAGCGGAGATGATGTTCTGCATTTTCCTAGTACAATGCGCAAAAAAATACCAAAATGACTTTTAATCTAATAATCGGAATTTCACCTACTAGGATTCAATCTTAATAGTTCAAGTTTTTAGTCTTAACAAATGATCATAAATTTTTTTTTCTTTGTTTAACCATAAGTAGCGAAAAAATAGAAATGTTAAAGAGGATTTTGAAAATATGAAAATCTACTTATAATAAAAAGAAAGATTGGAATGTAAACAATATTTAACGAAGATTTTGTGAAAATAGAATTATTCCTTAGAAAAGGTGATTTCATTAGCTCGTTTTCCGTTTTTTTTTGGGGGGGGGGGTCTAGAGGGACGTTAAGAATATGAAGCCTAAACCCCAACACGAAATTTAAGTAAAAAATATAGGTTACTTCCCTAGTAAAATAATTAACTAAAAAATATGGCGTACTTTAAAAACAGTGGCTAAATTACTATAAATTCACACATTCTAGCAATCGACAACTATAAATCTATGGGCACATATCCATAGGCTCATTCTATAAATTCAATTTTTAATTACTACATATTTAATTGTGACTTAGTTAGCAACTTATCGTTTAACTATGTGCAACTGTTGTTTAAATTAAACTTCGTTCCAATTTTAAAAGCATAAAGTTGTGACTACCTAAATAAAAACATTCAGGATATCTTAATAAAAATACCAGCTAAATTTCACATAGTACAAATTCAATCTTTCAATACCTGAAATTTAGCGTTTACTTATAAAGTGTCTACTTTATAAGTCATTCAAAATTCTTTGCAGTTTTAAAAATATAACCATTTACCATAATTAAAACATTATCTTTACATAGCATAAATTAAGTTTTTCGTTATCATGTATTAAGTAGTTATTTAAAAGACATACTACTCATTACTCAACTATATGCATATGTCTTCAAAGTTCTTTGAATTTTAAAAGTATAAAAATAGGACTACAATTACTAAAATATTTCATAAGTTTTGCATAATATATAATTCAATTTTCCATTACCACTTATGGTTGAAATTTGAAAGATATACTATTTGTCCCGCACAACTATCAGTAATTGTCATTTAAAATTCTTTGCACTTTTCAAAATATAAATTCTGCAATAGCTAAATAACATACTCAGAAATACTAAGAAATATTTAATGTCTCTATTAAATATTTTATGGTAAAACGATAAGCATATACCAAGTAAGAATATCCGTTATCATAAGTTTACTATGTCAACATATTTATTTTCATTTTTAACCAATAAAGTGCACTTAAGCATATGAAGTAAAATCAAGTCGACATTCTTCAATATTCTTAGTTTAACAAACGAAAATCATATCGCATAATTTTTGGTGATATAAATAAGAAACTTGTAAGAAGATAAGAAGAGAAGGTTTCTTTTAAATGGGGATACCTAACAGGAGATTGTCACCAATCATAATAAAAATTCTCAGCTAATGCTAAAGCTATCCAAGCAAAAATTTAACTCATGCCTTAAAATCAAATTAAAATATCAGTTTTTGATACAGAGGTTTTCGTATTAATAAATTTAATTTAAATACAGTTTTAAGAATAGTTGAACTGTTTATAATTACCTAATAATCAAATTAAAATATCAATTTTTGATACAGAGATTTTCGTATTAATAAATTTAATTTAAATGCCGTTTTAAGAATAGTTGAACTGTTTATAATTATCTAATAATCCAAGTGATGATTGTAAAGCAACACAACATTTATATTTTCTCCTAAATTATCTTTTAATTTGAGAAGAATTCTTTGGTTTAAAACAATATGGCAATGAAACTTTTCTCTTAACTAATTTTTTAGATTTTGTCTTTGGCGTTCATTTGGCAATAAACAAACTCTTTTTTTTTTAAATTTACACACGATTGAATTTTTACATTGTGTGTGGAACTAAGGCTTATGAGGACAGCTAGAATATTTATCTTATTTATTATAATTTAGGACCAGGTTAGCCCAGTGGTCAGAGAATCGTCCGGAGGGCGGGGTTCAATCCTCGACTCCACTAAAGAAGTCTAATCGAGTACAATACGATTTACGTGAAATCAAAAGTCCTGTAGTCGATTGCTCATCAGTACAATGGGTATAGAGATCTGGAGAACATTTCTTACTATACAGGAATTGTGGAAGTGGCCTCAAGAATAAGTGTTGCTGCTATCTATCCTAGAGGTTCTCAGCTAAATCGTACTTTCACCCTTACGGTGCTCTCTTGTCAGATGATAGCAGCACCTTCCAGACTTATTTCGCAAAGACAAATGACTAGAGTGCTTCGCTTGTCTAAGTGTCACGAAGATCAACGCAACAACACTCCTTTTTTTCTTTGAATTTCGGCATATTTGCGAAACTAAATGTATTACACTTTGATGCGCAATTGCATGACAACACACTTAATAGTTAACTAAAAAATTAATAAAACAAGGTTTTTATGGTAAAAAAATTATCTGGAAAATATATCCCAGTTATATATTAAGGAGAGCTGTTTGAAATTTTGACTTATTTTATCTTTTTTCACATCAGTTAGGACATGGGAGTACCAGTCAAGGCTTTGATCATATCACCTGAAAAATATCACCCTTAGGCCATACTTAGGTTCTTGGCCATAACGTGAATCAGTTTTTGACTGATTTAAAACTGTTTTACTGGATTGAAGTAGAACTTCAAACTAGTTCGTCATGTAGACTAATAATTTCAAATATTATATTTCTGAAGAAAAAAAAATATTTACTTTACATGAAACAAATAAATAGTAATAAACTAAATGTTTGAAAAGAAAAATATTTGTTTCTAAGTATAGTTTAAACTTAAGCTTTAATTTACGTGTCGCTTACTATTATTTTCATATTTTACAATACATTTAATAAAAATATAATATGAACTAATTATACATTACATTCAACAGTAAAAAATATTACTTTTAGTTGGTTATTTTAATAATTAACGAATTCATAGAAGATATGCAATTACAGCAATCTTTTATTTCAGAAAAATGAACTTTTTAAAATTTCTATTAGAATAAAAAAACTTTTTTTAAAAAAATATTGCATTTTTTTTTCAGGTGTGAAGTACTGCGAAGCACTTTAAATGCTCCAAGTTTGGATCGTAATAACATTACAAGCAACGCAACTGTTCATTGAAGTCATGATAAAAGAATGATCAAAAAATATCAAAAATAAAATATTTAGATTTTATAGTCAACCATTGGTATTTTTACTTTCTATCAAATTCATTTTTTAATTAAAAAAAAATGCAAAATAAACAAATACTTTGCCTGTTTAATGTCTGCAACTGTGTAGGATAGACAGAAACTGTCCTTAGAAAATTAGAAAGTGGTGACAAAGTGTTAACAGAAAGTTAAAAAAAAAAAATTATTAGCTTCCATTATAATTTTAAAAATAAAAAAATTTCGATTTCGTAGCTAGATATATTTATTTGGAAAAATTAAGCGCAATGGTGGACACGAATTTATAAAAATGCATTTTATATCTAACATTTTCTAACATTATTAAAAAATTTTAAGGACACTATGAGCACTGCAAAACAATAACCTAAGATACTACGATTTTCATAAAAAAAAAAAAAAAAACAATTTAGTTGTTAACAATTTTTAGTTTTAAGTACGTACTCTAGTTAGAAGTAAGATATATTAATTAAAACTATTGTTCTGAATAGACATTTAAAGTTGTGTTTTGAAAATTAAAAATTATTGTAGTTTTTTTTATTTAATTTTAAAAATGATACGCATACAATGGTACAACAACTTATGATAATTGACCTATGATAATATGACAACCTATCCTATGAACAACCTATGATAATATGACAACCTATCCTATGAACAACCTATGATAATATGACCAAACAAAATGATACAACAACCTATTAGACTAAAGTTATTTGTTGCAATACAGTAGGAATAGAGGTATTTATTAAATTATCAAATACCCTTGAAACTCCAGATGAGAAATGTAAATACAATGTGATGAGCAAAATATTATAATGTACCAAGGTTAGAACGTTTGAAATTACTTATAAGGCGACAGTCTACTTTTCTTTCTAAAAAACGTAAAAAATAACTACCTAACTATCAAAAAATATTAGAAATTTAGTAAAAAAACTGAATTTTAAAAAAAAATTATCAGGTAAGGAAATAAGTTGCAAGCATGGGCTTTTCAGGATGTGGAATGCTAAGTTCACAAAACCCACCTTTTGCATTCAAGTTACAATACTTATTTGTATCGATGATTTTTGCGACATCTCAACTACAGTAATAATCAACTCCATGCTGATAAATTTTACCATGTTGATACTTTTAGAACGTTAACGGGAAATTATTTACGATTAAAGTGTGGTATAAAATTATAATGAAAGCGTGGTATTATAATGCAAGAAAATCAAAATTGCGAAAAACATAAAAAAATATTAAAATCGAAAAGAATCACAGTCAAAAAATAATTTTTTAATTGTTGCTTTTTCTAAAACTCTTGAGAAATAGAAATGGATCCATATTTAAGTACGTGAACAATGCCCATCTATTGGCATATTTTTGATATTGACACAACATGCAACATGTGAATAATACACAAAGCGAATGAGGCGGAGCCTTTTAACTGTTTCGGTTTGAATGTTTATGTTTGCCTCATTAGATGATCTCTGAAGCAAAGAAAGAGGTTAAAATGGTTCTATTAAGTAACAAATGGCTCAGGGTATAGAGCGTTTGCCTTCCAATGAAACGAACCGGGTTCGAATCCCACCGATGACTGGTCGATACGAACTCCGCATCCACGTTGCTCCGACCACAGTGCTGACGTTAAATATCCTCAGTGGTAGACGGATCATGGGTTAGAGTCACTTTGCCGTCGGACTAACCATGGGAGGTTTTAGCAGTTTTCCTCACCATGTAACGCAAATGCGGGTTAGTTCCATCAAAACGTCCTCCACGAAGGTGAATTTCCTCCCAATACTTGATCCAGGAGTTCTCTTGTCTTCTGGATCAGGTTCAAAATTACAAGGCTACGGCGTTGAATACTGTTAGCCGTAAACTCAACATTGGGTTCAACGACGGTTATGAAATAAAATAAAATTACGAAACAAGTTCTGCTTTGTGCATGATTGAAAAAGAGAAAGCGTCACTTCAGACTGACTTTTGTTTATAGTCAGAGCAAAAAAAAAGGCTTTTATGTGAATGTTTTGGCTTTCAGCTCGGTTAACAGTTAACTTAGCCACGTCACAAATTGTTTATCCATTGTGTCAACAACTATACAATCGCGATATACAGTTTCAAACAAAAAGCTACTTCCTCTTAAATACATTTAATCTAACTCAGTCTAAAAACTACTTTAAAATGACAACAATTTAGTTCTTTCATGAATTCAATTTAAAAATTGAGCTGTTATACAAAACTCTATTGAGAAAAATGGATTGGACACAAGATATGCTGTGTTAAACTTATGAAAAGACCTACGATAATGGATTCTTAAAGTAACAAAGTAAAAAAGTTTTAGAAATTATAACTGACTTAATCTAACATAAGGGACGTAAAAAGAAGCAAACAAAAGACGATTACTGTCTGTTTATCACGAGATGGGTATGATATGGACAAAATATAACATACCAGTGTTTGAAGTAACTTATTTGATTTTATAACCATAGTTGAACCATAGTTGATTTTATGACTACCAATGTTCAGCTCCGTAGTCTGATTAGTTGATCCTAGCCTCCGTAGCGCTTAGTAATTTTGAACCCAATCCAGAAGACAAGGTAACTCCAGGATCAAGTATTGGGAGAAATTTTGCTTTCGTGGAGGACTTTTTGATGGAATTAACCCGTATTTGCGTTACGTGGAGAGGAAAATCACGAAAACCTCTGACGGTAAGGGGACTTTAATCCATAATCCGTTTACCACTGAGGATATTTTACGTCAGCATTGTGATCGGTGCACCGTGTGCGAAATTCGTATCGACCAGTCAACGCTGGGATTCAAACCCGGGTTCGAGATTAACTGAATATCATTTTTCAAATATTAATAAAGTAATATGGACTTATTTAATGACTTATACCTTACAGCTTAATTATAATTTTAACGGATACTTTGAAAAATATTAATTTTTGATAAAATGAGAACTATTCATCAAAAATGAAAAATTTTTAGTACAATTTGTTATTCCAATTACTTTATCAAAAATTAACAATATGTAATTGCTTTTTTAAACAATATATGTTAAATATTTTTAAAAACTAGTAATTCAAACAAGCAATTGAAAAATGATTCTGAATATTTCCTACGTCATTTCTTTATCAATCACAAAGATATTCAAGATAACCAATTGAAACATGGTGTTGAGAAAAAACATATTGCGTTGTTTCTCAACACATTGTGTTGTTCTCACACATGGTGTTGAGACAAAACGTATGTCACCCCCACATAAAGCGCACAGACTTAGCATCGCAACATGTCTTTCGTGGTATACCTTCGAGATATATAAGGAAAATAAAAATCTATTTGGTGAAAATTACATAAGTCCCCTTAATATAGCTGGTTTTTCACTTTAAAATAGAGAAAAACTTTGCACTTAAATTTTTGCAAGAACTATATTAAAATCAGCTTTCAAATTATGCACAACTTTGAAATTGTTATAGAACATTTTATAACCCAAAACAGGCTATGATCAGTTTTGGGGGAGGTTTAGAAGATAAAACTCTTCCTCAAATAATGCTATTACTTAATAAATCAAAAACTTTACTTTAGAGCGATTCTAAAAAATAAAATTAATTTTATGTAATCGAATTTTTCACATCAAATTTCTTCTCCACGTGTGACGAATGGACAACTAGTAAAATTTCCATTTTAGAACGCAGCTAAGTTAACTATCAACTGAGCTTAAACCAAAACGGAAATATTTTCCTCATAATGCTGCTTCATCGTTGCTCTAATCATAAAGCGAGCAAAGAGGTTTTCACTTTCTCGAACATACACAAAGTAAAGCTTGTTACGTAACAAAAAAAACGTTGAATCTCTTACCTTAGTTTGGAGATGACCTTACTTATGAGACAAAACTAAATATTCAAACCCAAACAGTTCCACCGCATTCGGGTTGTGAATTGAGTATAGTTTGTCTCTGTGAAGAACTCCCCTAGCCATTCGCCTGGAAGAGTGGCGGTGATTTTGGTTACGAAGTTTAACCATTTTAAGTAGTCCATTTACCATTCCAAATTAACTATTTAAAGTAGTTGGGTCATTATTTAAGGCTGGATTTGGCTCAGGTTGGCGAGAGAAAGAAACTCCCCTCCTTGAAATGCGATATTTCTTGTTTCCATAGCAGCAGCCGTCCTTAGACTTCGTGGTGAGGGGAGTTCATTTTATAGACAATCTATAGTATTGCTTTTCAGTTTGTTTTTTGTAGAGAAACCTCAACTTCCGGTATTAGATATTGGACAATTGTTTATGCTGGAAAAGGTAGACCAGATCAAATCTAGACATTGTTGCAAAAATTAATCTCGGAGAAAAGATCAACGAGATTCTTTTGCAGAAACTAAAAATTGAAGTATTTTTTTAAAACATTTTGCACTTAATTTACTAACATATATGTATTAAATGCCAGTATTTGATAGCATATTTTTTTTCTTCAAATTTTCTTAATTATTTGCTCTGCTATGTACTTTATAACAAGAGTATTGTATGATTAAAGTTAGAGGATCTAGTTTAGAGATAAAAAGTTTTCATTCATTTTTATAATTTAAATAAAATATATGCAGGCTTGCCAACTACTACGCTTTTTGCAAAATATTTTATAGAGTGGTAGACTATTAAAAATCAAAGCTTTCAGAATTTTTGGTAATATTCCAAACATTTTAAAAGTCTCCCCATGAAAGAGCTGGAACAAAGTGATGTTCAATATGAGCTTTTAAATCGTTTATATGTAGTGGTGTGGAAAATAAGTGCAAATGAATAAAAAATAATACATTAAAACATAAACATAGCTACCACTAGAATAATTTTTTACAAAAAGGGTAGAAAGTTGGCAGCCCTGTATAGTACTACTTATCCTATTTAAAACTAGTCACATATTACTAATAATCTCCTATCAATTTTCCATTAATTCATACCACCTGCTCTCAAATCGTACCAACCTATGAATTGTTACGTATTTATGATTAAATGAATAAGTAGACCATGTTTTATTCGAAACAAGTGTTTT